AGGAGAAATGACTCAGAAAGACGGCGGTCCCTCTCCTTCTCCCCAGGGTCCCTGAGGGTGTGTCACCTCCTCACTAAGCTTGTTAGTCTAATTAGTGACTTTAAGATTTGTGAAAATGATTAATGAAGGGGAAATGAAATGGCTGCTTAAAGACGTCTGCTGGCATGAGGAAAAGTTACCCACCCTCCCCACACGATCATCCACGTTTCACAATACAATCACAATGTACTGAGTCTAATTAAAAATACAAACAGATATTTCTGATCCAGTCTTCACACATCTGTCTCTCATAGGATGGACCTGATGCAGGCTGACTGAACCTTAACATCACTTGTTAGGTGTGCAGCTAAGTGCACGCCTTTGAGAACCAACTCACAGAATGTGTGGTGCTGCCCCCTGTTCATCCATATGCTTGTTGCAGTGCCATTAAATGTGGCCATTTGCAACAGGTATAAACACTTGCTGCCTATGTCCTACAGCCTACTTAGTTTGAAGCACACTCAGACACTGAGGGTCATGTTGTATACAATGAAGCACCCAGCTCTACCAGATGTCCATCTCTACTGCAGTCTGCTTCAGGTAACTGTACTTCGAAATCTACACCCCTCCTTCATTTTAACATAACAACATGCCAACTTTTAAGTTCCCTGGTAGTTTGCATGCATTATAGAGGATGGTGAGAAGGTATACAGAGGTCTACCAAGAGCCAGTGAGCCAGAATACTGAGCACTCACAGAGAAAGCAGATGTTGATTGTCTTGTCAGAATGGCACATGTCAACGTCCCAGACTTAATGGATGGTAAATGAACAGTCAGTTCTTGTTGTCCTGTTGGATGTGACAAGAATGTGCAGGAGTGAAGACCTGAGTGAATTTGACAAAAGTGAAAGGGGCTGATACCTTTGACGTGGTTAGGTTTGTGCTCCTGAAGCAGTGGTCCACACCTACTGACTGTAGTAAGAGGAGGGACAAACCATGAACCACCATCAGTGTTGGGAACAGGCTGGAAGAAATCTTTTGTTGAGCATTTTACACTCCAGCATGATGGGGATAGAGGTAAGGTGCAGAGCAGCAAATACAACCCTAACCTAACCCTAACATGCGTCTTCCTGTAACAAAGTTCTCTTAATGCATCCATCCCATTGGTCCATGGATGCATTAAGGAGAATTGGATCCTCTATCAAATATAATTCCTTTCTATGAAAGTTGCTCAATGGCACATCACCAAAAAATGTCTATCAAGTTTCAGCAGGCTTTGTCCTCCCTCGATGTTTGCGTTACGCTCAGAAAGATTTGCTCACCATCTCGTAGCTGCTCCTTTTCCAGTGGTGATGTGTGGGGAAAATGCCTTTTAGGTCAGTGTGCCTGACACGGTGACCACAGGAGTTGTAGTCATGTAGTTTGCCTGCTACACTAAAATCAGCAAGAACCAGGTCCTGTTTCTGGGGACTTGTGTTAAACATGTGCCAAAGCTTCCCAAACATTTAGCTATATGTAAAAGAAGCACATATTAATCTTATTTAAGATGGGCATCAATAATTGTGGGAAGTCTGTTGAGATAATCAGAATTCTGTTGCAAATGCTGGTGTGATCATATTTTAACCCTGTATATGCTGTTGCCTCTAATTCACTTCATTTTGCAAGAGAAGTGTCAAACAAAAATTTGAAGGCGAAAAATTTGAGGCAAAAGTTTAAGTGCAGACTACAGTACAGGACGACAATGCACAAAATTTTGAATACTCAGTACAATATATATATTCCAACAGCAGCCTCAGTGTCCCTACTTTC